CTAAGATAGTTTAAGACAAGAGATGAATTCACCAGTGACATCCACAGCTAAGCCAAAATTGGGAAAATGCAAGAAGAAAGAGGAATTGATTTCGAGTAATAAAACTCCTTTTTTATAGAGTATTTTGCTGATATTCCTTCAAAAAATAACTCTCAATGGCTACTTACTTCAGATATTCCATCAACGGGCCATATTGCTCCAATGATAGCACCTTGATTCGATACCTTGCCGCGCGAAATGTGAAGCCAGATTCGGGCGCATCTGCATGAGATCTTGAATCAGGCAATGAAAATAAAGCCGATACCCCGAGAGGCCTGCTTTTCTTGCCGCCACCAGGATGAGACAGCACTGAGAATTGTAAGGTGCCGTTTTCAGGTGGGACTAGCCTTAAGACTATGTTTTGTTTACTTCACAGATAAAAACTTTAGCACATAAGTTACTCACGGCAGTAAAAAGGAACAATCAAATATAACCGACGGAGGAGCGACTTTGCTGGGCGAAGCAACAATTACTGGCGTACTGCATACCTGCAAAATGCTTCATAAGTTCCATTGAAAGAGGTAGTATAAAACACTAACTTTTATTCCGCAAATCATCCCATATGCTGAGTAAAATCCATCAGGCTTTACAGACTCCGATCTATAATCACTTCATCAGAAAAGTTTTTGGCATGGTAATGTGAAGAAAGTCATTCTAACCTATACTTTTCAATATGAAGTTGCAAAACGGCTACATACGACTGTTTCGGTGGTTCGAACTGCAGTCCGATCATCACTGGGACAGCACCCGTGCGAAGACCTAGAACCCGTGGCCTGCAACTTGAAAAATCAGCAAACAAATTCAAATATAGTAAGATTAACTCGCCTTAACAACTCAAGCCACTTGATAAGAATATGCGTCGGACGAAAACAAAGATACACACCGGGTAGATCGATGTCAGTCTGCGAGAAAAACACGCAACCCTCACGAGCAAATACGGAATCATCAAGCAGATACATCACACAATAGGCCAAGTCAAGGATTAGACGAGCTTTGACACTCTGGAAGGCAGAAGTCTGTTGTAGAAAATATGGACAGAAATAAGATACCGATACAATGATACCATACCAGTTCTGTATCTGAAATGATCAGTTCACAACCGCCATTTGGATCATCACATAGCGTCAGCCAACATGGCTTCCAGGCTTTTTCTTCTCGGGCTTCAAGAGAAACTTTGAGACAATGTTCTTTCCAACAAAACATTGTTTATTAAGACTCACACTTTCTAAGGGCTTGCACTGCCGCGACAGTATGTGAGGCACAGTTATGATTTACATAGTCAGCTGTCGCTTCAACTGACGTTGTATTTGGCGACCAATCTGAAGTAGTCATCACTGCCAATTCATTATTCGCTTCAGCTTCTGTACTTGGACGTCGTGATGGAGAACTGGATCGCAGAACGGCATGTGTTAGCCGAACCTCACTCGCTATTGGGTGAACACAATATCTGAAAGGTAATTTACTCAAGAAGGGAAAAAATTATATGGTGATTTCCGGTGAATCACCGTGTATGAAGCT